AAAAAGGGAAAACCTTACAATGAAAAACAATCAGAAAACCTTACAATGGACAAGAATCAGAAACCTCACAATAAAAAATAGGAAAACCTTGCAATGGAAAACAATAACAAAACCTTACACGGGAAACCAACAAGAAAACCTTACACTGGAAAACAATCAGAAAACTTACAATGGAAAACAAGAAGAAAACCTTACACTGGCAAACAATAAGAAAACTTCAAAATAGAAAACAAACAGCAAACCTTACAAAAGAAAACAATCCGAAAGCTTTACAAAGGAAACCAGTAAGAAAACCATGCAATGGAAAAACATAAGAAAACCTTACAATGGAAAACAATAAGAAGACTTCACAATAGAAAACAAAAATGGAAAACCATAAAAAAACGCACAAAGGAAAACAATCAGAAAACCTTACACTGGAAAACAATAAGAAAACGTCTTGGGTGCACGAAACGCTGACAGGGACGGGAAGAAAACAAACGAAAAAACGCTGGCAGGAACTCTTATATATATATATATATATATATATATATAGTTTCGGGCCCTCCGCCGAGACCCGCCCAACAATGGAAAACAATCAGAAACCTTACAATGGAAACCAATCAGAAGACTTCACAATAGAAAACAATAAGAAAACCTTACAATGGAAAACAATAAGAAAACTTTACAATGGAAAACAATAAGAAAACCTTACGATGGAGAACAATAAGAAAACGTATTGGGTATACGAAACGCTGACAGGGACGGGAAGGAAAAAAAAGGCCGGCAGGGACTGAAAAACAAATAAATATATATACATATATATATATATATATAGAAAAAAAAGTTTCGGGCCCTCCGCCGAGATCCGCCCAACAATGGAAAACAATCAGGAAACTTACAAAGGAAACCAATCAGAAAACCTTACAAATGGCAAACAATCAGGAAACCGTACAATGTAAAACAATAAGAACACTTGACAATAGAAAAAAAGAAGAAAACCTTACACTGGAAAACAATAAGAAAACCTTACACTGGAAAACAATACGAAAAACCTTACAATGGAAAACAATAAGAAAGTTCTTGGGTACACGAAGCGCTGGCAGGGACTGACAAAACCCAAAGAAAAAACAGAAAAAACTGGCAGGGACTGAAAAAAAAACGAAAAGCAAAGGTTTCAGGCGGATCTCGGCGGAGGGGGCCCGGTATGGATTTCATTTCCCGTCCAGTTCCGCCCGAAACCTTTGAGTTTGGTTTTTTCAATCTCTGCCAGCGTTTTTTTTTTGTTTTTTATTTTTTTTGATTCAATCCCTGCCAGCGCTTCGTGTACCCAAGACGTTTTCTTATTGTTTTCCATTGTGAGGTTTCCTGATTGTTTTCCAGTATAAGGTTGTCTTATTGTTTTCCATTGTAAGGTTTCCTTTTTGTTTTCCATTGTAAGGTTTTCTTATTGTTTTCCATTGTAAGGTTTTCTTATTGTTTTCCATGGTAAAGTTTCCAATTGTTCTCCATTGTTGGGCGGATCTCGGCGGAGGGCCCGAAACCTTTGATGTTTGGTGTTTTTCAGTCCCTGCCAGCGTTTTTTTTTGGTTTCCAGTCCCTGCCAGTGTTTCGTGTACCCAAGACGTTTTCTTATTGCTTTCCATTGTAAGGTTGTCTTATTGTTTTCTATTATAAGGTTTTCTTATTGTTTTTCAGTGTACGGTTTTCTTATTGCTTTCCAGTGTAAGGTTTTCTTATTGTTTTCCAGTGTAAGGTTTTCTTATTGTTTTCCATTGTATGGTTTCCCGATTGTTTTCCATTGTAAGGTTTTCTTATTGTTTTCCTTTCTAAGATTTCTCGTATTGTTTCCCAATGTTGGGCGGATCTCGGCGGAGGGCCCGAAACCTTTGATTATTTTTTTGTTCAATCCCTGCCAGCGTGTTTTGTTTTGTTGTTTGTGTTTTTTGGTTGTTCCGGTCCCTGCCAGCGTTTCGTGTACCCAATACGTATTCGTATTGTTTTCCATTGTAAGGTTTTCTTGTTGTTTTCCATTGTAAGGTTTCCTTATTGTTTTCCATTGCAAGGTTTCTTTCTGATTGACTTCCACTGTACAGTTTTCGAATTGTTTTCCATTGTAAGGTTTTCTGATTGTTTTCCATTGAAATATGTCTTATTATTTTTTGATTGTACTCGTTCTTATTATTATTATTGATTGTATGGATTTCTTATTGTTTTTGATTGTACGGTTTTCCTTGTGTGTTTGCAAACGTTATTGCAATATCATATGACCAGCATCCACTTCAACATATGAACGAACTTCTTCGTTTAAAGCTCTCGGGCTTGCATTTGTGAAGATGGGGTCCCCGTGGGGGTGCTACCACACATGTACACCTATATATATATATATATATATATATATACACATATTCATACATATATCTCTCTCTATATAGATATACATGTGTACACCTGATGTTTGGATAAACTACACATATACCAATGGCTATATACCTGTGTATATATGTGTGTAGATATGTGTATGTGTCGGTGTGTTGTCTGCGCTGTCGCGTTTCGGCAGGGAGGCGATTTTCTGACGTTCTGGTCGGATTTGGTGCCGATACGGTGCCAGCTGCACGTGCCCGCTCGAGGCGAGAGGCCCAGGTCCTCGAGAGCCCTACCCTCTCGAGGACTTCTCTCTCCCGCGCGCGAGGAGGAAGGAGGAGGGAGAGAGGAAGGGAGGGAGAGGAGGGAGAGAGGAGGGAGAGGAGGGAGAGGGAGGGAGGGAGGGAGAGGAGGGAGGGAGAGAGAGAGAGAGGGATAGAGAGAGAGGGAGGGAGGACTTTTCTCCTCCGCGCCAGGACTCGCCATCGCTCAGACGGCCATTCCCCGTGCATCTTCTGATCTCGTGCGTGCCTTTTTTCGCAAGGTGATCCGAGGTGCTCCTCGAGGGTCCTCGCCGAGAACAAACAAAATACACGCGTCCGAGCGATGCCAAGAGGAGGAAGGAGGAGGGAGCGAGGGAGGGAGCGAGAGGAGGAGGGAGGGACGGGAGAGGAAGAGGGAGCGGAGAGGAGGGGGGGGAGACGCGTGGGCCATTTGCATGTCCATGTCCAGTGCGCCCTGGACTCTCTTGGAAGGGATGCCGCAGGGCCCAGTCGCACTGTCAGTGGATCAACCTCGAGCCTCTGGGGGCCAGACGTTTATCCCCATGCAGTGCGCCTCGAGTTTCTGGGGAAGGGAGCCCGACACTCAAGGTGCTGCAATGGATATGAACTGAAGTATTGCCCGCAAGATAGACCCTCACCACCTTCCAAGAAGCCCGATCAGGGGAAACCAAAACGCACCCATACCGCCACTCCACGGAGCCTTCCCCAGGGGTGCGTTCAGACCAGAAACTCGAGGCGGATCCAACGGTGGCGACAAGGGCCTTCCAGGAGGCCCCCAAAGGCGGAAACGAGGGGAGGCTAGCAGTATGAGCACCTGTCCCTCCTCTGACGAGTGGGCCCAGACCCCAAGCTCAGGCGGGCATGTCCTCCTACAGGCGGAAATTGGAGGTAAACAACATAGTCAAACCATATTCCAGACTTAGCCTGACGAAGGACCCAACCATGTGCAGCTGCGAGTGCCGCATTGTGGATAACGCTTTCCGTGGTCCTATGGGGCCACGAAACGTGCGAGAGGTGCACCGAAATCGGTGGCGCGGACGCACGTGGACACCACCACTGGGGCCTTCGGTTGAGCTCCCTTTGGGGTCACGAAGCGTTGTCCTGGGTGGGGGAGACGCATGCGAACTGCGCCATTGGGACCTTCGTTAGAGCTCCATATGGGGCCACGAAGCGCTGTCATGGGTGGGGAAGACGTGTGCGAACTGCGCTGTTGACGCTTTCGTATGGGGCCACGAAACGCTGTCCTGGGTGGGGGAGACGCATCCGGATTCTGCCATTGGAACCTTCGGTGGAGCTCGCTCCGGGGCCACGAAGCGCTGTCCTGGGTGGCGTTGATGCATGCGGACCCTGCCACTGGAGCTTTCGGTGGAGCTCCCCATGAGGCCACGAAACGCTGTCCTGGGTGGCGTTGACGCATGCGGACCCTGCCACTGGAGCCTTCGGTGGAGCTCCCTATGGGGCCACGAAACGCTGTCCCGGGTGGCGTTGACGCATGCGGACCCTGCTGCTGGAGCCTCTGGTGGAGCTCCCCACGGGGCCACGAACGCCTGTCCTGGGTGGCAGAGGGGGAGGAGACGCGGGGCGCTGTCTCTTCAAAACGAGGACCCAACACCACAGGATGGCTCGGAACAAAACAGTACTAGTTGAAACATCGCCTCCAAACTATTTTCTGCTTATTTTCGGATCTTCCTCCTGTATCGGGGAGACGTAAGACTCGAGCACAGGGGACTCGGGTTGGCCCGACGGGGCCATCATAAAAATGACGAGGCCCAATCTGAAATTTGACGCGAGCTCCCGCTGCAGACATCCCACGAAAACTGGACCGTCAAAATCCAGGACGCGCTCGTCAACAAAAACGTCGGCAAACCCGAGTTCAGCCTTACTCGGGTCTTGGGTTCCCCCGACTGTAGAAAGACGTGCCCGACGTAACGTCAAACGCACAGAAGGAATCCTGGTGCTGGCCCTGCCCCTCCGTGGAGCATCGCTGGAGAGCCTCGCGGCCAGGCTTCGACACCAGGACCGGCCCCGTGCCAGGCTCGAAAAAAAGGGCAAGCCTTTGGCCCTCAAAGGGCCGTCGGTGGTCGGATGGGTCAAATGGAGACCGCCTCGGTGGGATCCGAGCGCATGGGGTCGGAGGATCGCGCCGCATCGCCGAAATCGGCGATGCATCGGCGATGCATTGGCGATGCATGGGCGACATCGGCGACGCACCGGCGCAGTCGGCGTGAAGCGAATCGGGCCCCACATCGCGCGCATCGCCGATCCATCGGCGATGCGGCGCGATCCTCCGACCCCATCTGCTCCGACCCTATCTGGGAAGCCTAGAGGACCCAAACCCGAGGCGAGGCGATCGCGCGGAGGCGGCATCTGCTCCTCGCCCGCCGCGCTGCTGCCGCCGCCGCCCTGCGCGCACGCGCGCGCGCGCGCCAGACGGTGCTCAAAAGGGACCCTAGAAGATCCTTCTTTCCACCCCCCCATTTAGGCCCCCCCCCTCACTACCATTCGCCCGACCTGAGGGGAACTCCTGGACCCTCGGGCACTTCGGGCCTAGTGTTAGGTCGGCATGGCCTCGTACAGGCGGATTCTGAAGGACAAAACTGTCGCTTCACGCAAATAAGCGAAACGAAATCGCCAAAATGACCCAGACATTCGGCCCCCTACCATGTTGTGATTCTTTCTGCACGTTCCTCCTGCAGAGGGGCAGGCCCACCTTGAGCCTCGTGCGTGGTCCCAGAGCTGCTCCTTGACGGCCCCGGGGCCCAGGAGAGCCAAGAATCGAATCGATAAGTCGGATCGGCGATCGAAATGAATCGGATTGGCAGAAATCGGCGGCCGAGTCGAGAAAAGTCGAATCGGCGGAAATCGGCAGGCTAGTTAGCCTCCAATAAAGAATCGGAACCCAAATCGGAATCCCAAGTCGAATCGAATCGAAATCGGAAGCCATCGAAATCGAATCGACTCGAATCGGGGGAATCGAAACGAGCCCTGCAGGGAGGCAGGAGCCCGACGGCCCGGAAGAGCCTCCAGGCCCCGCTCCCCTCGGGACCCCTGCGCCCGGCACTCGGAGAGCCGACGCTCTGACTCTTCCAGGGCCTCCCGAACTAGGGAGCCCACAAAGGACGTACGCGCCCAGCTATGTACATGAACACGGCCCCGCGATTCGCGAGACCCGCCGCGTTATACGAACATTTGTGCAAGGCGTGCTCTCGAAACCAGCGTGGATTCATGTACATGTACGTCCTTGTTTCGCTCCTGACGAACTCCCGCCCCTGCCCCCGAACCCGGCTGTCTTCCCGAGCACATGGCCGATGGCCCTCGGGCCCGGAAAAAAGGCCCCCAGGAGCCGCAGAACTCGGAATCCTCTCGGGCCATCCAGGGGCCCTCTTGACGCCCTCTTGGCCCAGCCTGGAGGCCTCTGGCATTGGTGAAGAGCCCCGGGGGGGTCCTTT